AGTTGGTTAGAGCGTCGTGCTAATAACGCGAAGGTCGCTGGTTCAACCCCAGCTGGGAGCAACAAATAATTAAATCATGTAACAAAAATTTTTTTTTTATAATTTTTGATTTTTTATTACAATCAAACAACTACAACAGCAGCATACATACATATACTTATATTTTCAGAGATATTCGTTCGTCTGTGTCCTTTTTCACTATTTTAATTAAATTTATATTTTTGCATCTAGTGTTAGGTAAAATCCAAGAATTAAAAGAAAGATAGACAACATGTGTAAAAAGAAGACAGTATTTAAAAAATATTGTATATAGCCAATATGACAATGGGAACCGACATGTCACCAATGTAATTAACTGTACGAAAATTCCTCTGCTAGAAATCAATAAATGGTTTATTTTTTATTTAATTAATTATTCAAGAACAAAATCTGATATGGCTGTTATTTAATTATTATATATTTTATATGTATATATGCTAAAATTTTATTTGTTTTTTTCGAAAATCATAATCCTTTTAATAAGAGCATTAGAAATAAGAACAATGGGTTGTGTAAGCGTTGAAAAGGTGGTTGATGCTTTGGTTGATCCACTAAGGCATTCTTTACAAGATCAGTATCAATATGTAAGAAAAACTGTTGCAATCACAGTATCAAAATTACATTTGTATGATTAATCGTTAGTAGGAAATGAAGGATTTATGGATATGTTGAGAGATATGTTGGCTGATTTTAATCTTATTTTACATAAACATATAAATATAAATATATTTATATGTTTTATGTTCCTTTAGAAATGGGAGACGCAGAAATATTGGCCAAGAGCGTATTACACCAAGACTACAACATATCAATTCTAGTTTAGTGCTAATTGCAGTAAAAGTTATCATGTATTTAATAAATGACATGATTAAAGAATATGATATTACAAATATGTGTAATCCCTCGTTGGATAAAAAAATTTTTTTTAATTTATTATTTATATATGTTTATATCTTACAAAAAAGACCTCATATGATTTATTAGTGACATCATTTTCAAGTGAGCCAGAAGTTCAGTATGTGACACTTTGTAATATACTATTAATTATTCAAATAAGACCAGATGTATTAAGAAATAATATTAAGGTATTTTTTGTGACAATATTGAATCAAGTTAAAAATATTTATTATTTTAAATCAATTAATATTAATAGATACACAACTGAAATTTTGTTAAGAAAATTCTACAGCAGAACTTTTCATAGCAGTTTTACTAGAAATTTATCCAAAAAAAGTTAATTATGTTTTATCATTGTCATAAAGGTGTATCTTAGCTGATTCCAAAGCTAGATGGTTTTATTCTGTCTCTTCCTATGGTTATTATTTTAAAAATTTTATGTAAAGTTACAAGAAAGAATAATAATAAGGTTTTAAACAAAATTCCTCTTTTTTAGCTTTTTGAAGTCTGGGTGATTTTTTCAAACTCTTTGGTGATTGATTATTAAAATATAAATAATTATCTATTCCTATAATATTTATTTAAAAATTTTTAATCAAACTACAACAACACAAACCATCATCACTAGTAACAACACTGCCAATAAAAGGGAAAAAACAACACACCACCCACAAAACTTCAATTAATAAAAAAAAAAAAATCAAGAGATTCAAATATTTGAACCTGAAATAATAAAGTAGATAAATTCTTCTCTTCCTCTCTATGCTTAATTCTCTATTTGTGCAGTGCAGTTCTTTGCAGTTGCCATTCAATAGATCCCGTGATCTAAATATCCTTTAACTCTTCCAAAAATAGAAGAAATACAGCATCAGGAAATTAAAAATGCGTTATTCATAACATAATATAGCACATGATGAAAATAACGTTATTCAATAGGCCCAAATATAGTAAACATAGCACTTTTTGTTCATTGTACAAGAGATCTATGAGCTGTTCTCATTGCAGTTTGTCCCTATAAACACATATTAATATATATAAAAAAAAATACATATTAAACATATTAAGGCATAAATATATTGATCATAGTAATTACATATTTTAGCAAAATATTTCTCATGACTTTTTGAATTGCTGGGTGTTGTTGATCTCTTTTTTTTTTGAGTCATATTGCTCATTTATAATACTAATGAAATAATCTTTAAAGCCAGTTTCATTTGGATAAATATATCCATTTTCCAAGAGTTTTCTAGTAGCAGATTTCCAAACTTCCTATATTTATTCAAATGTTTAAATCTTTATAAATCAATACCAATTATGAAAATATATATATATAAATGAGTTCACCTTATACCACTGATTGTCATTTTCTTTAAAAACTTGAAAGTCTTTTTTTAATTCCTTTAATTCATTTGATAATTTAGTATAATTTGAATCTAATTTTTTTACAATTTTATTAGTCTCAACCAGTAACTCAGTATTTTTTCTTAAGTAAATCAATATTTGTTTTAATGTATTTTTATCAATACTGCCTATTAAAAAATAAGCAAAATTATATAGTAATCTATTATTGTTAAATCTTTCATGCATTGGGAAGGATATATATACACCATTGCTATAACTACTATTTGATTCCAAATAATCATTATTGACATCAGCAGTCAAGGGGTGTGTTGGTGGTAAATTAGTTTGATTACTTATTGTAGAAGTTAATGGCAATTGGTGTGGAATTAGCTTGATTATTGGTTGGACTAGTTCTGTTACTAATTTGTGTTGATGGTCATGAAGAGATAATTGATAAATGTGAAGAAGTTAGTCCATATGCTGGAAGCTAGTGTTGATGAAGTATTACTCTCATTATTTTCAAGTAGTGGTAGATGTTGTGGCTTTATTTTTTGTAACTGTTTTGGAATTTGGTAAATTTCTATCTATTAAAATTGATATTTTATAATTTTATTTAGTAGGCGTAAAATTATTTAATCAGTGTTTTTCCTCTCTTTCAATAGACTGCAACATGGAATGTTATTTTTTTTTTTTACAATAATAAATTCTGGCATGTATATAGAATTTTGGGTATCTAGACGTTTCCCCGACAATTACATTTTGTATTACAATATTTATTTGTTTCCCTGCCATGCCATATCCGGCTAAGTTTATCAAACCATTTAAGTCTATTAACCCATTCATTAGGCGACTAAGCTGTTTAAGTCGGTTAGGCCATTTATTAGCCAATTAATATTAAATATAGTTAACAAAATCTTGTCGGAGAAATGTCCTGTCGGGGAAATGTATTTGTTGGGGAAACGTCCTGTCGGGGAAACGTCTTGTCGGTGAAACGTCCTGTCGGTGAAACGGTGTCGGGGAAACGTCCTGTCGGGGAAATGTACCAGACCCCTAATGTTATTAATTATTAATTATTAAATAGCTGAGTAAATAATATTATTTGCTACAATTACACTATCTATTGCATCTAAATAAGTAATGAATAGTGATGATGTGCTATTTAATGCTATGAATAACACTTTTTTAATTTCCTGATGCTATATGTATAACCAAAAATAAATCATAGAATTAAAGCTATGATTTCTATTTTTGGAAGAGTTAAAGGATATACACAGCCAATAAAAAGTTCAGTGGCTAAGTGACTTGCACTATTTGAACGTAGTTTTCACACAATAGCTCAGGCAGGTTGTGCATATAAATTTTAATGATTTCTAGAACTTTTTTAATTTTAAAAAGCAAAGTCTATTTAAAACTTTTTTATCAATAAAACTAGTGAGTGTTGACAATGATTGATTGTTTTAGTGAGTAAGCAAAGGGTAATGGGTGTTATTGTATTCTTAATCAAAAACACAGGAAAATCAGCCCAAATAACAATAAACATTTGTAAATAAATAAATAAAACGTAACTTTATAGAGGCCTTGAACTTTGTAAAAAGACCATCTTTATTCATTCACAATACCCTACCTGTATCATCATTGAGTGTGCTTACAGATTATCTGAAGCTTTTCATGTACAAGAAAACAAGAGAAGAAGTAAATTCGTAAACTAATTAATTGACAAGAATAGCCAAAAACTAAGCCATAATCAGTCATAGTTGTCAATACTTGTTAGATAATCGGTGTTAACGAAAAGATCACCTTGCGATATTCCCTTAGTCTATGTCCTGCCTGCTTTCTGACAAAATTTGTTTTTTTAAAAAGTATAAGATGCATTCATAATCCCGAGATGTCTTCTTGCAGTGGCCACCCATTTTCTCCAAAGGAAGGTAAACTGCAAAATCGTCACAATTGAGGTTCTCTTACATTCCTTTCAAATTATTTCAATTTCTTCATTACTAGTATTCTTTATCCTAATACTAATACCAATTCTATAATCCATTGATACATATATTCCCAATAGCTTTAAAGGGGTTTAACTCCCTTAATTAATTCATATCAAATTACTGGATTGACAAAATCCACAGACAATTTTCTTTGATAAACAATGAAGTTGTTATTTAATATATATTATTTTATAATTTTAAATAAATTGAAATTGCATCGCCCCGAGTAATAATAATACTAAGATCATGCATGCAGTAATGAAAATTTTTTTAGCAGGGTTGGAAAATAAAACTTGATGTTTTTGTTAAAATTTAATCTGGGCATCCTTTCCACGTATAATGAAGGTTCCGTTACCTTGTCGTCCAAGAGGTAATAGTCGTCGAGTCTCCGCTTGGTACTCTGGGATCTCTGTCATGATCGTATTAAATTTCTTTTCCAAAAATCCAACATATTAAAATTTTATCAGAAGCTACCTTCCCATGTAGCATGAAATTTTCATTATCTCGAGTGGTCTAATCTCTGTAGCCCAGTTCTGGTTGTAAAGTTCCTTTAGTCATTTCCGAAAAATAAAATAAATAAATAAATTCAATGTATCAAACGGATTTAATTCAATCGTCCTACATAAGTCTTTAGTACACAAGCCTCTGTGTCCTGCGCTATGTACCTGACACAGTAGAGACCCGTAACGCATAGGCGAGACTGTTTACGAGCTCTTTAAAGAACCCAGATGCAACATCGACATACGTTTCAACCAATTAATCCTTTTTTGACATAGGCAACCTATTAAAACATAACCAAATACACAATCCCTAGACAAAAGTATTTGTTCACATGATTACACTAATTAGTAAAGAATATAAATAACGTACGTACTTTCATGGTTAATAAAAAAAAGAACTAAAATTCAAATAAAAATTTGAACATTTATTTTCACGTTTTTTAAAAATTTACATACAGTAAATAAAACATTGTATAAATAAAGGCTATTGTTTTGAAGAATGAAATTTTGTATTTCAATCTAGAAAATTAGTGATTAAAAAAATAGGCGTTTGCAGTCTTTTAAAATCAATGAAGATTTAGTCTTTAATACTGATTTTTTTAACAGGTTTGTTTTTACAATTGTAAAATATTAACAAGAATTATGGCCGCGTTTTTTCATTGATATTTGCCTATTTATAATTTTTTCTTGAGCGTCATGGATCAATAAAAATGGTTGAATTTTGTTTGATCCATAAATTCATTGTAGTACAAACGTTCAATCTTTAATTTTTCTTCGGCTTCGCTATCACTTTGTTGGGTATCACATAAAAATATCCCAACTAAAAAGAATAGAACTCAAAAAATATCTGTCATAATAAAGTTTGGGATCTACAGAAATGAACTTCTTTTAAAGTCAGGTGATAATTATTGGCGTTTATAAAGTTACGATTTGTACATTCAACCCCAAAAACTGGTATCATCATTATAATAATAAATAAATACCAAATACAGTCAAAGGTCTCTACACCAAACTTCCGATAATCGAACTGCTCTCTATAACGAACTAAATTTTTGGTCCTGATTTTTATTAATTAAATTTACTCTAATTAAATTATCTTGTATATATAATAATAACGATACAAAAAAATCTGTATATAATCTCCATATTTACACGTTGAATTTTATACACTGATACCGCGCAACTCAAATGAGCACTCGGTTAAACCGGCTAAACTATTTAGTCATATGTTAAGTCAAGTTTAGTCAAGGCAATTATTACTGATTAGGTTTTTAACCCCTTTATGCTGCCAGCCCTGGCTAATACCGAACTCTTAAAATTTTATTAGTATGATGAAACAGTGATAAATCCCAAACGAAGAAGAAAATGATGTTTCTTAATAATGATGTTGATAATAATGATGATGTGAATAATGATGATGATATACTGAAGTGATTCTTCCTCCTACACCTGTATCACATAAAGATACCTTGTTGGCAATAGAAAAACTTACAAGTTTAAAAAAGGATTGTTGTGACACTTAATCATTACGTGGTTGCAGCCAATAAGGATTGCCTCTAATTCGGGCGTATCTATGTTAATCACATGACTGGACCATATTGAAGTATGTATAGTAATGATATGCAATATATTCAAAATTACATTCTGTTTTTATTTCTGTTACAAATTATAGTGGAATTCCAAACCCTTCTTTAGAAAATTTATATTGTGTAAGCAATAAATTGTACAACAAAAACTGGCGCGGGGGTATCGGTTTAATATTCCAGAATAAATGTCCGCAATTCATTGTAACCTGTTTTAGTTGAAAAACGTTAATTATTAATTATTGTTCACACGGAGATTAATCAACGTTTTGTTAATATTAATGACAAAACCAAATTAATTTAATTTTGTTATCACAATCAGATTTCAAATGATAAACTTTTATGATCATTTTCCATTTTAAGAAACAATAATAATAATGTTTTAAATTGGAAAACTTTATTATAAATAAGTACTCTCCTTCCCTGTTACTTTTCTTTTTTGAAAAAATATTATTCATAATATTTATTATTATTGTGTTATTATTATAGTATTCACATTAGTACCATATTTAATTATGTACGGAAAAATGTCTTTAGATGAAGAAAGAAAACAAGATAGGATGAAAAATCAAGGTTATGAGCAAAGACAAGATATCATAGCGTCAATTAAAAAAATTATTAAAGTATTTTAAAAAATTTTTTTAAAAATAATTTTATGATCATTTATTTTAGTACACAATGTCTTATTTATTGTTGAATCCTTATCTTCTCATATATATTAATATATATATACAATAATCAATAGGATTATCCTCACGAATCAATTTTCAGAGAATTTTTACAAAACGCCGATGATGCGAAAGCAACCAAATTTAAAATTATAATTGATGAAAGAAAATCAAATCCAACTGATGGGTTAATAAGTGAAAATATGAGAGCATTACAAGGTCCTGCAATTTGGATTTACAATGATAAACAGTTTGAAGAAAAAGATTTAGATTCTTTGTTAAACATGTATGATGGTAGAAAAGCTAGCGATGATACAAAAATTGGAAAATTCGGAATTGGTTTTAGGTCTTGTTTTAATTTTACTGATGCGCCCAGTTTTGTGACTGGTGGAAATTTTCGTGTTTTGGACCCACAAGGAGAATATATTCCAGGTGGTTATGCTCGTAACTATACAGAAGAGGAATTTTTGAGATTGTATAGCGATCAATTACAACCTTATAAAGACATTGCCGATTTTGATCCTAATGAAATTTTTGATGGAACATTGTTTCGACTTCCTCTTAGAAACACTGAAAGTAGAATTAGCGATGTGATTTATGATGCAAAACAAATTCTAAAGTTCCTGGAAAATTTTAAAAAGGATGCAATTTCCTGTCTAATTTTCTTAAAATACGTCGAATCAATCGACGTTTATCATTTGAAGGAAACTGCCGAAGAAGAACATTTATGGAGTATTAGTATCACCAATTCTGATGAAATCAGAGAAAAAAGACTCTCTTATAATATTGATCCTGAAATTTTTGCTCTTAATATTGTCACGAAAGTTATGAAAGATGAAACTGAGGAATCAAAAAATTGGATTGTGTGTACAGGAGGTGATAGATTAATTGGAGACACTGAAGACGAAAAAACACTTAAAGATTTTGCAGGAAAAAATCGTTTAAAACCTTGGGGAGGTGTTGCTGCTTTAAATGAAATAACTGATGATTTTATAGGAAGATTGTTTTGTTTCTTTCCATTAGCTCAAATGACAAATTTACCTGTTCATTTGAATGGTATTTGGGCAAACAATTCATCAAGGAATAATATCTTGTTAAATGATGATGCGCTCTCTGACAAAAATGAATTGTACTTAAAATGGAATCGTTATATCTTGTTAAATATTTTACCAAAACTTTACATAAAAATTTTGGAACATCTCGTCGATTCGGCAAGGAATCAAAATTCTCAAGAACAAATTATTGTCAAGTATTGGCCATTACCATCACAAGAAACTTCACATGAGAAATATGTTAGAGAATTTGGTAGCGCGGTGTTAAAACTACTTCCTCAAGATCAACCATTATTTTTCACTCGTGGTTTTGATGGTGATGATGGAAAATATGTTACATTCGAAGAGGCGTGTTTCAAAAATGAAGATGATATACTTATCATTGAACTTCTTGAAAAATTTAACTCGACAATTGTAAGATTAGACGAAGAATATTTAAAAGATTTAGAAAAATCTGGTTTGCAGGTTAACAAAGTCGCCACAGAAAACATTTGTGAACAACTTAAAGGTCAGGATATTGATGATATAACAAATAAACACGCTATCAAAGACATCATAAAATTATTAAAATTTTTATTAAAAGATCAACAATGTTATGATATGATAAGGGGAATAAAATTGCTTCCACTTGAAGATGAAAGTTATGGTGAATTTGGCGAAAGAAAATATATTGCAACTACAGAACAAAGAAGACTTCTTTCAAATGTAAACGGTTCCTTTTTTGTTCATGGAGATTGTGTGGAAGATCGCGAATTGAGAACAATTTTTGAATCTGAGGATTTTCAAAAGGCAACCAATATTAGTTCTTTTAATGCTAATACATTACTACATCTTTTAGAACATCAATTGACCAAGGAGAAAAATATAGAATATTGGGATCCTTCTGCTTCTTTACATAATATTTCAAATTTTATATGGTTAGAAAACATTTGGGAAATAATTTTAGCGTCCGATTACGGTGTAGAATCTTTTCGAGATTTTCCACTGTTAGATATTTGTTCACCAAATAATGCTCTATATCTTTTAGATTCTGATAACCCCGTATTTAAAATTCCACAATCCATAACTGATGGAGACATGATACATGTACTAATTAAATTAGGCGTAAAGTTCACCAGAAGAAATATACATGATAAATTAAAAGATTATATTCTCGAATGGAATTATAAGAACATTTTTCGAGTATTGGAAAAATTTATAAGACAAAATAATGATTTCTTAGCTAACAATGTCGACATACAACCAAACGATATCGAGGTAATAAAGAAGTATGTGAGAGAGAAATGGAGCTTGCTAACTCATGAATTTGATTATGTCCTACAAAATTTGAAAATTTGGCCGACTTTTCCAAACGGCGAAAGTTTTTTTAGAGCTTCTGATGTATCTCTAAAACCTCAAGATATTCGTTTATTCGATGAAAATAGTAGCAAGTTGAATGGATTTTTTTATGAAAATGAAAATAGTAGTAACAACAATGATATTATTACGTTGGATAGGATAATACTAACAAATTTAGGAGCGAGAGTTGTTGGACTAAATGATTTTCTTAAAGATACTATTCAATTTCCATCAAAATATAAAGATGAGAAAAAATATATTGATTTTATTAAAAGCGTTTTAATTTCCAATGATTTTAATAACGCCAAAGATTTGCTAATGAATAAAACAGCAGCAATTCCAAATAATTCGGACAAAGTATTAAAACTTGCTAGAAATTTATATTATTCCAATGAACAATCATTATTCGAAACGATATTTAAAGATTCTGGGAAGATTATTCACCGTGATATTGTATCTGACGAAAGATGTTTAACAGCATTATTAAGAATGGGGTTGAAGAATTCTGTGGATCGTGTTACATTTTTAGAATGTGCAGATGAAATTGACAGACTTCAACATAGAAACAATAATAATAATAGAAGAACACAAACAAGACCGAATAATGATTTGGTGGATCGGGCTAGAGTTTTAGTCAATTATTTATATGAACGTTTTGAAGAAGTTAATTTTGATCGTGAGGATATTCAAAGATTATTAAGAAAAAAATTTGTTCCAGTCGATCAAGAGATTAGGAATACATATCCAACCAAATATGTTAGAATAATTGACGGTGATGTAGAGTGTTTTGAATCATTATGCTCAAATGAATACAGAGATATTGCATGGACACAATTAGGGTTTATAGATTCACGAGCTATACCAAGAAATATTTCTGTTATTGATAAAATATTGGAAGATTTTCCGGAACTTGGAAAACCAAAACCAACTGTTGTTCTCGAACATTTAAAAGCTGTTAAAGAAATGGCACTTGATCCTTCCAATACAATGTACCCTCACGTATTTATAACAATGCTTGGCAAAATATATAAAGCATTAAATGAAAATTGTTGCGATGAGGATGACGATGATTCAGATGATGATGGTTATGGATTTAATAAATTGACGCGAGCAGATTTTGATGCTGATCCTGGACTTAAGTTGTTTTTGAATATTAATACTAACACCAATATTAATATTAACAACTCGTACGAAAATCCGTATGACGAAAGTAATTGGGTTGATGCTGACGAATTACGAATAGGAGTTCTCGAGAGTGATGAAGGATACGTGAAGAATTCTATTTCAAAATATCAAAAATTGTTAAAAGTAGCAGGTGCATATGTAGTTAAAAATCCAACCCAATTTCAATTTGAGGATATGTCATCTTATTCCGAAGGAGATCAACTACTTAAAAGACTTCAAAACTTCCTAGTTAATAGTCCACCAGCTTATAATGATGTAATTTTTACAGTTGGAGGAGAAGAAATACGAGCCAATCGAGCGATTTTGGCAACGTGTAAACATTTTGAAACATCATTTTATGGTAATTTTCATACAGCAGCCTTCAATGAACCGATTAGAATGGATCAAAATAAAATATGCGACGGTATTAGTCCGAATGGCTTTAGAAGTTTAATAAAAATCATGTATGGAGGTAATTTAGATCAAGTGATTGCCGAAGAAAACAACAATAATAGTGATGACAGACAAAGAATTATATACTTACTGTTAGATCTTTTAAAAGGATCGGATTATTACGAATTAGTAGATACCAAAAAGAAAATCGAAATTAAATTATCAAAATATGTTCTGCCACAAACTTATAACATAATTTATGAAACAGCAAAAGAATACGCGGCAACGCAGTTGGAAGGTTATTGTATAGCATTCAAAGAAAGTAATCCAGATTTATTTCAAGATTAGATTCCCAAAATTATTTTAATTTATAAATAGTTAAATATAAAATCATTTAATTTCTATACATATTCCCACTGAAATAAATTATAAATTATTTAAATTATTTACAAAAAAAAAATTTATAATATAAAAATTTGAAAATGATGTGAATTTTAAGAATGTAAAATATTATTTTGTAAATAATAATAGTAACGATAATTAATATATAAATATATCTTTGATTTAAGAAATGCCTATGTTCTTTAATAATCTCTCACTCTCCAATTAACTTCAAACCCTCTTTGATTTAAAAGCATTTGGCAACACGCCGATTAACCTCTTTTTTCCTTCACCACTTCCGTGTAATGTGCCATCGATGACCGGATCCACAACAGTCCAAATAAATATAAAAAATCCACTAGAAAATATAATCAACATAAATAAAAATGGTACAAAATCCTCAAACACTTTCGATACTTGTAAATTTGACTCATTCAAAGCCCTACTAATTATATCAGACGTAACAAATCCTATTATAAATATACAATATATCGACATTATGATGCCTTCTCTCACTTTCGAAGTACCAAATCTCCACCATTTTGCACCATAATTAACTTCATGAAATTTTGACACGTCAACTCTTTTTTTCTCTCCGTAAAATATTGAAAACAGCATAAGTGGAGAATAGTATGCTACTGTAAATGATGAATCGAAACCTTTATTCTTTAAATCAATATAAGTCCATATTGTGACAATACTTAAATACAATATTAAAAACAGACAGGGTAAAATCACTAGGCCAACTAGATTGTTAACATAATCTTTACCATCAACTATTTCACTAACATTAGTAACGGTTGTTGTTGTTGTTGAAGGTGCGGTTGTTGATGCAGTTGTTGATGAAAATTGTCTAGTTGGGCTTAATTTATAACTGGCATAAATAATATTGAATAAAATTAATTGCGAAAAAATCGCAACTCTTGCCAAAATTTGAGACCTTGATATTATACGTCCGAATGGTGGTGAAAGATAAGCGTAATTGCTCGAAAAACTTAAACCACCTGATGTTGAACCACCACCGCCGCCTCCACTACCAGCTACTAAAGTTAATGGTAAAAGATCGGCTGAATCTCTTTGATATAAAAGTTCATTATCTCTATACCCACCACCATCATCTATTGCTACGCTTGACATTTCCTTTTTTATTCCACGCATTGAATTATCATATGATTTTGAATCTAAAAAAATTTTTTTTGTAAATATTAAAAAAAAATCCAATTTACGCAGGCAGGTACATTACAAATAATTATAAACCAAATACCTCTTTTTGATTGATCACTACTTTTTCGATGAGTCTTTTCCAAATTCTCTTTTGACAGTTCATGTTTACTTTTTTTATAAGATGATGATGATGATTCATCACCACTTAACAAATTCAAAGGTAATAAACCAGTAAACTTTGTGTTTTTTGTTGTTGTTGTCGGCGGAAGTAATGTTGTAGTAGTTTGCTTTGTTGTTTTATGTGGTTGATGTTGTTGTTGTATTTCAGTAGAAATGTCTTTAACATCATCGTCGCTATTATAATTTTGATATTGTGTAGATGGACTAAGAGTTAACTTTGGTACATTTACTATTTGTTGTGAAGGATAATGTTGCTGTTGTTGCTGTTGTTGATATTGTTGTCTTTGTAATTCTTCTAAATCTTCTTCACTATCTTCTTCTTCCTCCTCCTCTTCAAAAAATAATGCGTCTTCAACACTTGGTCTAGTTTGTATAGATTCAGCCATCGCAGATAACTCGGAAGGATGTCGCTCATGTTTTGGTACTGGTTCAGTAAAAGAACGCGGTGGTGGTTGAATTCTTGGCCTATGTTGTAATACTGAGGTAATGGTAGTGGAACGTTGCAAAACGTTTTCTCTATTTTCTTCTACAGGTGAATCTAAGTTTACTGGGCTCTCGTTATTATCGTTACTATCACTATCAGACGAAGAAGCGTCTGGTTGATAGATCGGAATGGTATGGAAAGGTTCACTCGGTGTATTACTATGAGTTTCATCATGGTCCATAATTTTTTTTTATTTTTTATTTTTTTTTTAAAAAAAAATTTATTTCAAAAAAAAAAAAAGGATTTATAATATTCTAAAATTTTAAGGTTGTGTGTAACATAAAAGGTCTAAAATCCAAGCCTCTGATGTCATTCAAAGCCATGATTGAGATTACGTTTTTGAAACTTTCTCCGTTTGAAGCATGATTTTTGTGCCACTGATGTAAAGTAAATAGGTAAGATGGCATCACATATATTTCTATCGCGCTTTTAAAATTATTTTTAACAAGGTTTACTATTTTTAAATACAATTATTCTATCATTATATAATATCCTATAATGGTATATATCCATCATCCAGGTATCCAATCATTCACAACCCGTTATAATATGGCATTACAAATAAATCCCGCAATTTATTTTTTCCATTTTTAACTTCACGAATTAGAATGTTAATATCCGCAGCCGGTCCGGTCCTTATAGGGTACGGACCGGAGCATACCCTGCCATTACCATTTTAAATGAGCAGTTCTGATGAAAGCGGAAGTAAAGGCATTGCTGTTCGTGCCAATTGCAAAGCAAAGATCGAGGAAAATTTTCCGAACACCATTTACATCTCTATTTAGACATATATTATATTCCCTAAAAAGGATTTTTTCCTCTCGGATTATTATCAATTCACACCAAATATGTGTATTAGTACTGTTTCAGAAACAATGGAACCTTGCTTTCCGTGTTCTTCTGCTTTTGATATTAATATTGTCTATCCCTAAATTCCGAATGAGATCGGGTCATCCATCATGTTTCTGACTGTTCTTTTATTGATTTTTTTTTTGACAACCGTTAAAACTAGAAATAATGATTATATATCAAAGGTGATACATATATATCAGAAAACGCTTTAGATTTCTATCTTGTTGTAAAATGAATTACTTGTCACAGGAGCTTCTTCTTTCAATTAAAAACAAATGTATGACGAGGGTTGCAAATTTCATATACTGTACAACTATTAATTCTTTTTATGTGATGACATACTTTAGGTTTCTACCTTACTGTGATTACTCAAAAATAAGCTAAATGCTTGCATAATAATCGAGACTTTGTTTCTTTACATACATAATTCATAATTTTTCTAATTACACAATTATTATAAAAAATTTGCTCGATCGTTTACCAATTTATGGATTAAACCACTTTGTGGTCATGGGTATGTATTCCTTACCTCCCGTTTTAGTATAAGATAGTCATATTTCTATCCAATCAAATAAAGAATGGGGTTTGAGGATGGTATGGATTTTTCAATGCAAATTGGTTAATAAAAAATGGTTATCGGAATACATTTTCGAAGTAAAAAAATAAAATATACTTGAATCAAATGTCTCATATAACTTGTATCGTGTAACATTGCGGTATTAATATTTAAATATGGCTTAGAGGATTATGATAGACAAAATATTAAATAAAAGGATTTGGTAGAATTGGAATTTTTTTTAATGATAAAAATGTTTTTTCTCAGAAACTTCAGGAATATAAACACACGCAAGAATTTCTTTTGCAATCATCTTACAACCCAAAATAATTTAAAAAAGGGTATTGAAATCATTGGATTCACTTTCTCGCCTGCTACTCTTAGAACAATCCTTACCCTTGAAGAGTTAGGTATAGAAGAATATGAATTTGAGAAAACACCACAAATCAAAACGCCTGAATTTATTGCTACTAAGCATCCATTGTAAGTGACGTGATCTTTTTAAGTAATAATATTAATTTCTTTCTAAATTTAAAAATCAATCTTGTTCGTTAATCATGATTATTAGTGGAAGAATTCCAGTAATGTTTGATGACGGTTTTAAAGTTTTTGAATCACGTGTAATTTGTCGATATCTCGTAAACAAATACCAAGGAACCAAAAATTCTACAATTTTGATTCCAAAAGATCTACAAAAGGCAACTTTGGTTGAACAATTCTTATCAGTTGAAAGTTTATATTTTGATCAACCATCATTAACTATTGTTTTTGAAGAATATATTGCCAAGCGTATGATGAATAGTGAACCTAATACTAAAAAGGTCAAAGAAGCAAAAGAAAATATCGAACCAGTATTGGATGTTTATGAAAAGTTTCTCAAAGGAAAAGATTATTTGTCTGGTGAATATTCTTTAGCTGATCTTGCTCATGTGCCTAATATCTTTTTTACTGTTGACAAAACCAACTCTGGAGATATATTTATTAATGACAAGCGACCTAATTTAGCTAGATGGGTGAAAAATATTAGCGAAAGACCCGTTTGGAAACGAGTATTGGCAAAATATAATCTCATCTAATGTTTTTCTTATTTTGTATTAATTTAAATTTTATCAAAATAAAATTTTATTATTTAACCCTGAAGGTGTACAATTGCCAAATTTATAGCCTGATGATGATTTTGGTGGTGGCTTTAAGGAAGGCAGTGGACTTTTGGTAGACCAGATGGAAGTTTATGTCAATTTATTTGAATTTCATTCCATTATTATTTTCATAATATTGACATGATTCGGTGCTAAATACTCTGTTACCTTTTTTACACTGTGATCTCTTACAATTCTACAGGATCTATAGTAGCAATTATATATATTAAAGTAATCATATTTTCTATGTTACATTGAATTTTATGAAGACCAAGATACATATATGTTGGAGTGTCTTATTGGAATAGCAGGCAAAAATTTCGTACTGATACTTCAATTACTATTACAAAATCCAATAAAGATAAATAAATTACTCACTCTGCTTCTTATACTAGTAGCTAATTCTTTTCTGCTATAGGTAGCTGCAGCTTTGATGTCGGCTTGATCCCATAAACAAACATCTTCTGCATGATGACATGCTCATTAAGATCACGAGATTCTAATTTATTTACTACTACTACTACTATTATTATTATTATTGAATTAAAAAAATTATAAACATAATCTTTTAGAAACCATATATATAGTTAATCTTTTAATAGCAGGCTTCATCAACGCCAAATCTTCATTGTATAAATTATTTTGGTACTTGTACAAGTACACCATTTGTAGTTCATGTGATATGGAGAATACAATTAATTGTCTATCTTTGTTGGATAGATATCATCATTCAGAATTAGCACTTGAAGAAGCAAAAGTGTTGACCAAAAAGTGTGAATAGTAGGTTTATTGTTAGTTAACCTTGCTAATTTCAAGATAAAGATGTGGTATTGATTAATAATACATTATTATATTTATTTATTGTTATTTCTGTAATAAATAAATAAAATCATTTCTAAATATAAAAAAAAGATTAATCGTAATGAAAAAAATTTTATCACTTTTTTTTAAATTTTACTTTGAGATGTAATTTTAATTATACAATGCAGCCCACGTGTAACATTGAATCATAAGATGTATAACAATTATTACGACAATTGCGATCTCACTTTTCTTAAAAGTAGCTGATCAGTTCAACCGCAAACTTGGGATGGGAGGTTCTTACTCATTATTTTATTTTTGTGAGCCACCCGAGTCTTTATATAAAGTTGCTTGAAACCTTCTAGGATATCCTAAAAGAGACAAATTTATTTACTCAATGTGTCATCATTTATTTCTGTGATTCCACATAATCTTAGTAAATATATGAATATCATTGCAAGTAACTCGTTAGGATTATGCATTCAGCCCCGATTTAATTGACTGTGTTGCATCAAGCAAAAAAAAATTGAGAATATTATTGTTCTAAGCAATTAATACTTAATTTATATATTACGTGCATATGGCTTGGATATAGATTTGTAATCTTGGTGGTGAAACTTTTGATCTTTAAATTCTTGAAAATACAAAATGGTATATTTGAAGTCAATGATGTTCTTGGTGGCAAGGATTTTGATGATGCATTGGTGGTGAATTATATTATAATAATTTAAAAAAGAACAAGATAATGACATCACAAAAAATAGATATATTGGACATCAATGTATTAGAAAAGCCTCTGAAAAAGCAAAATTTGAATTTCTGTCAGCCCTATAAACAAATATCAATCTTCCATATATTACAGCTGACAACAGTGATATTAATATGTTAATGGTGGATTGACAAGAGTAAAGTTTGAGTTTATTCTGGCGGGCAGAATGGAACTTATTCCAAAGGTGTTCAAAGCCGTTAAGTAAAATCTTTGGTAATGAACCAAACACAAGTGTTAATCCTTTTTTACAAAAAGAGAACTGTGTGACATTAAAATTTATCTTCGGATGAATTGGAATTTAATGATTGAGAAAAGATGGCAAGGTTGAAGTAGTCGAGACAGAGCTTTCTATAATACAAAGAGTAAATTTTAACTCTTGTTAAAAAATCTTTTGTACGCCTCATAAAATCTGCAATAATCATGTTAGTTTCTAATGAATTTTGCCTTAATTTTAACATTAAATACTGACTGATGTATAAATTAGAGCATCTATATAATACCCACAGATCTTTCTAGAAAGCACCATTTTATTATTATATAATAAAATCTCTGTTCCTGGAGATCAGTGTATATATGTGGGGTATGCTGCAACGAAACCTAACAAAGTGAACATTGTATCACATAAAATTACAGTGATCATAATGAAACTTGTAATTATTTCTAATACTAAAAAGAATTACTCCCTTTCAGTTCAGTTAAATGTGATGACGTGTTCAAAGATAATGAGAAAAAAATTCAATGACATAAAATTTATGAGAATAATGTCTTGGCAATAGATTTTTTGAAGAATGGTACTTGTGTATTTATCAAGTTCTCAACTGACGACTTCATTGTAGAAATTCTGGATTGAGAAATATTGTTATTAGCATAAAACATAATCCCACATCCCACGCTGCAACACGTACACACATAAATACATATATATATATATATTAAATATCAAAAGCTCGATGTAAATGAAACTTTATTTATTACATTGTAAATTGTGATGCAAAAGCCACAAGGGCATAATTTATTAAACATATTCATCCAACATTACTGTGATGTTAACAAATTTACATCTTAGGTTTAATATCGAAATGGGACATGAACTTGACTTCCTGAAAGTTTTTATTATCATTATCACGTGTCATCAGGAACCACGAAATAAAATTTAACCTTTGCTTCTTTGTTAATTATATATGATTGCGTGTTTTGATTATATTAACAAGGTCAACCTGCCTGATAGGATGTTTTTTGGGCATTGTTACTTGAAAGATATTGTCAGGAGTAACAAATAGATCTGCTGCACCAAAATTTGATTTTGATGGTAGGATAACCCTGTTTCCTTCATTATGTTCTGAAAGTTCTTCTGGAGTTAGGATGTATTCAACTCTTGGTTGGTGCTTTATTGTATATTTTCTGATGATAGCAGTATGCTTGTCTACACCATCCTTGTCTGCATCATCTTCATCATCCTGATAATGAAAAACAAGATATAGTAAACTCTCTCAATCACCGTCAACACTAATTAATTATGTGAGGCTTAACTTGCATTCCTCTAATTTCCTTGTTGCAAAGTGATGTTTCCAGTCATGAAGAGATGAATTACATGCAGTTCAAACATTATTCCCCTGGCACTAGGATATTTTTTATGATCTCGGATTTTTCCAGAAGCGTTTTTTTTTTGGATTTCATCAAATATAAAATTAGAGGCCCATCCAAGATAATAATCATCATAAGTAAGGTTTGGCCATTGGTGAATTAGGCAGTTGCTTAAAATCTCATCCATTACTTTAGGTATCTTTGGGTCATAATATTTCATTGCCTCTTCAATCTTTTGAAGGACATATCTTGGCACACCACCTGTCTTGCTGTAAAGTTCCAACATTATATTTACCGGAACTCTCGAGAAGACATATTTTTTACAAATTAGCGACTCATTTAATGACCATGGTCCTATATAAAACCTCTTCACAATAATTTTATCAAATTCTTGGAATTCATATTTCTTTATGCTTTTTGGTGATAAAGCAACCACTGTTTTTGCCTCAACATCCTCAGGATTTATGACACCATCTGCTAGATTAGCATGTTTCAACAGATCTGAAGCAATCTGAAAAGTCACCTGAACTTCCAACATTAATTCCATCTTCATCAAAGCAATAGAATTTCTGACTTTTCTTATGAGACTGGAAGATGATATTAATATTTTCACATTCATACAATAATCGGATCAAGAAATAAACCAAAAAGCATGATTTACCTACACCTGATGTTCCAGTGACAACGAACTTATGACAGGAACCAGTTGATGAATTATTGATCAATAGATGATGAATGTCCTTGTATTCTTCTCTCACATATTAGGGATGTTAATTGATTATAATTGATTATGAATTGATCGACAAATCGAAAAGTAATCAATTTTTACATTGCAACAAGCATTAGAAGTAATTAATCATGTTTTAGTACATATTTCTACTCAATTGTATATTTTTATATTTATTCTAATTCAAATAATATTTTTATTAAAATAAAAGATTTTAGTTACAAAGTATGAGTGTAGGTCTAGAGGCGAATTAACTTTAGATAAGACTATATGTGAAATCATTGACTCTGAATCTTTTTGGAATTATATTAAAACTCTTTGAAATCTTTTGGTTCCATTATGTAATGCATTAGATAAACTTCAATCTAATAATGCTAGACTTTTTGAGGTGCTACATTCTTTTGGATATTTTGTCAAATTATATAAGAACTACCCAGAACAAACTTTTGGACAAAAAATGTTGAGTAGGTTAGAAAGGCATTGGAGTATTTGGGAGCAACCTATACTTATTCTTTCTTTTTGGCTTCACCCCAGTTATAGAACAGAAAAATTTGACCCAAATATTGTATCAAGATTGTCTTTTTCCTTAAAATCATGGCTTATTTACTATTATGATTCATGGTTTAATGAAAAATCTACATCAATTCTTTTTGAATTTGAAAAGTATAACCAAATGAAATTTCCTTATTCAAATGATATTTTTAATCAATATAAGCGCAATTTATTATTATACTGGAGTTCCTTATCAAGAGACAACAATGAACTTGCAAAGTTGGCATGTCATGTTTTTGGTATGTGCGTCAATTCTGCTTCAGTGGAGAGATTATTTTCAAAAATGAAATTAATACACACACCTTCTCGAAATCATCTTCATGTAAGTCAAAAAAAAAATATTTAGAAGTCATTCAATTCAAATTTTTTAACATTATTATTTCTTTATTTATGCAGTATGAAAAGGTATTGAAAATAAGCCAGATCCATGGTGACATAATTAATTTAAAAATGGAATCAACTAACAATAAATTTCAATCTGAAAATATAAATAACATTATGATAGAAAAATAGATAACACAAATGATCATGATTTAAATTTAGATGAAGCTTGTCAAGATCTGGGTAAATTTCTAATAAATATTTTAAGTATATACATTATATATAATCTATTATTAATCAACTAATGAATTTAAAAATTAGGAGGAGAACCAGAAAAGGAGATAATAGATATTGATGAGGATAATGATAACGATTGTTGTGATGGTGAAGAATTTATTAATTCTGCTGAAACATGGAAGGTGTTGGTAGATGAATGGATTAACATGACTAATGATGAAATTATTGATGGTGAAATAGAACAAATTGCTTCATTAGATGATTCACATCCAGCAGAAAATAAAAAGGCCAAGTGGGCTTTGGCAGATTTATTTCCTGCTGGTCTTGATGTGCCAGATTTCATATTTGATATACTGCCTGTAATATATAATGATTATGAATAATAAATTAAAAATAAAATACTTGAAAAAAAAAATTTTTTTTATCAATAGATCAATGGACCACCAATAGACCAGAAATTAATGGATCATCAATAGATCCAATGGACCTGGTCCAAAATCTATTGATCACAATGGACCCGGTCATTTGCCAACCCTGGCCAATAATAATTAAAATAAATTAATTTTCATTTTTATGTGCGCGTATATAATCTTTTTTTTCTTTTTTTTTTTTTGAAAAAATTGCGTGTAACATATTAACTAAAAAATAATTTGAATGACGTTTTCTGCGAATTAGGAGGCATGAATGAAAATCTCGATGGCGTGAACTTGTTCAAGTTAGTGATCATTTCAAATATCCCCCCCCCCCCCTACACACAATTTTTTTTTTCTAACAGAGAAAAAATAAATTTCTATTATTATTTTTTTTGTCACTTA